TTGAGTGTATACGAAAGACTTGCATTTGCTTGATGCAGACATTTATCGAATGTACTTTATGTAATAAAGGGGAGCTAACAAATGGTGGAAACCTTGTTATGTTCAGTCATAGATGTATAAACCAGAAGTGCCCACTTGTTCTGTAGTGATTGACAGGTTCAAGTACTCGTATAAGTCCACTTACATGTATATTAAAATCAGGGTTGCAATTCATCGCTTTTCGTGCAACTGTTTGGTTTTTTTTTTTTTGTAAAAGAAATAAAATCATTTTCTTTCAATATGACCTTCAATTTTATTTTTACATCTTGACCCCAATAAAGTCCCACTGTTTACGTATGACTCATTCTAAATGTTGAAATCTTTATATGATGATACTTGTAAGAAATATTGTATGCATAACCTCATAATAACTTTGAACTGGGAACAGTATATCTAACAATATATATGTTCCTGCTTTGAATTACTAGTATCTATACGTTATCTCAATTCTTATTTTTTCAAATGAGCAATTTGTGATGACTGTCTTTTTTCAATTTATATACTAGATACCTTAGTTTTCTGTGTAGTGTTTTTTATTGTTGTTTGTTTTTTGTCGTTTTTCGTTTTGGCTATGGTGTTGCCTGTTTTTATTAGACTACATATATTTTGTTTCTCCCATTGTTTCTTCTCTCTCTCTATCTCTTCTTTTTTTTTTGCAGTCAGCCACTTGGTGTCTCATCTTGCAATCACTTGGTGTCCATCGTCCTTCGTACGTAAACTTTTCAAGGATTATCTTTTCTGAAACCAATGGGCTAGTTGGAATGAACCTGTGCATGCTAGGTCCGGAACCATATAACAATCGAACCATGAAGGCCACATTGACAAGTAGTTAAACATGGTGTAACAATGCAAATAATTGTCCCTATTCAAACCTGTAGAAGACAGGGAAAATTTGACAAGAGAAAAAAATTGAAAGTCGATATCGTTTGTCAATCCATCAATCAAAATTGTCAGACTATTCCTTAAGGATTTGATCTATTGCCCGGTGAATTTGTAAACTTTAAGGGAATTTTACAAATCATTTTATTGGTCGTTTATTTTTCGATTATTGCGTTTTAGAAATGCCTTATGAAGGGGTATGAAAATGATTTTTTGATTTTTTATGAAAATATCAATATGACATGTTACTGAATGAACGAGTCAGGCTGTTATGATTAAAAAAAAATTCAGGTGAATCTTGCATTATGTTTGTACCGACGCCGTATGCTAGTTACTGGGGGTTTCGTTGACATGTCTACATAAAGAGAGTTAGGAACCATGCATATAAAGTAGATCCAAGTCAGATACAAAACAATTTATTTTTGTGCTTTGAATCAAATTTCGCAAAAACACAAACTGTGCATTTCATTTATATTCGTGCACATTTTTGTTTATATATATAATTTGGGGCCAGCTGAAGCCCACCTCCGGGTGCGGGATTTTCTCGCTGTGTTGAAGACCCATTGGTGGCCTTCGGCTGTTTTCTGCTCTTTGGTCGGGTTGTTGTTTCTTTGACACATTCCCCATTTCCATTCTCAGTTTTATGGTTACCAATTTTCGTTCATTGAGGAAAAATTGTGTTTTCGTCGATATTTCATTTTGAGGTTTCACCAAAACTTACATAAAACTCTATAAAAAATGTATTTCGTCACAGTTCAATATTTAAATTTGTGGGTTACATTTACCCACGAAATCAACGAATATTGGTATCCCATGAATAAAAATAAATCCAAAGTATATCATTGACAATTGTTACAATATTTTACTTGGACTTTTGAAATTTCAAATTCTTGTAGGTATCATCAGTCTTCTTTTTTATTTGGCCATACGTGTCAAATTAAGAATACAGAGAAAACATGATCATGTCCCTCTTTATTGATGGGATGTGATAAATGAAATTTGTCCTTTGAAAAGTGTTTCAGATGGTACATATAATCCTTTCTTTTTGGATATGTGTCCAACGGCAATCATTTAATTACAGAACCCTCACTTTGAATAGGCATACATTACACAAGGTCATGTGTTTCTCCGATTGTTCATGACTTCTTTACACTAAATCCATTGGATGTTGGATGTGTACTGATTGATATTCTAGTATTAGTTACATGATTTTCTATAAGTTGTTATTGGCTTTGAACTAGCTGTCAATAACTGCGAGTACTCTCAGATTTGTACTTTGTGTCTTTTTTGTTGTTAGGGATGTATAAATACCCTGCCACATTCGGTCTGGTTTTCTTTGGGATTCTGCTTTGTATTGCTTTGATGAGTCAAGCTCATTTACAGCTGATTTTTATAGTTTGTTCTCATCTTGTGCTGTAACACCATTGTCCCATGGGAGGGTTGAGCACTCACAAACATGTTAAATCCCGCCACATTCTTTATGTGCCTGACCTGAAGTCAGGAGCCTGTAGTTCAGTGATTGTTGTTAGTTCATGTCTGTCATATTTGTTTTTCGTAAATTGTTTTGTTATAAACCATGGTTAGTTAGTTCAGTTGAATTGTTTCATATTTTCCAGGGCCTTTTAAAGCCGACTATACGCTATGGGTTTTCTTATTGAAGGCCATACGGTTGCAAGTAACTGGTTACATCCACTTCATACGAACTTTTTGTCGATAGTTGTCTCATTAACAATCATACCACATCTCTTTATTTTTATATATACTATAGTTCATTACACTTAAGGTTTTTTTATTGTTAAAAATTTTAAGCTGTATTGAAGCTGGAACTAATAGTGTTTTTTGTTCCCAGATGGGACAAAATGTTCATCACTGTACCACCCCTTGGTCCATCTGTACTTTTTTTCAAATGAAACAATGTTGAGAAAGTCTTCATTACAGAAAAAGATATAGAGTATATTTTGCATTAATAGCATTTGAACATACAAGACTTTTTAAAACATTTCCATGGCCGATTTCAAAGATATTTCTGTATTCAGAGAATATATAAAATACACGTTTTTGTCAAATGGTTTTGAAGTTAAAGCTTGAAAATCTGGAACAGTTTGACAAGGGATTGTTAAAAGCCAATCTGCATACCAATAACAGTCGTGTGTAAACAGTATAATCATTATCATCACACTCTTTTCTGCACAGGAATTCAGGAATAAAGATAAGTTTCAAGTAGTAACGGTATATGGTTGTTTGCAGTAATTCCGTGAATAAGTTTAATTTCCTTTATCAAAAAGGAGTTCCAGATGTTATCAAATAAATCTAGAACTTTACATGAGTGTTAAAATAATTAAGCTAAATTCACCAAAACCCAAAATGCAAAGTTTGATTTGTCATTATCAAGCATATATGGTTGCAAAAAAGGTTAATAAAACATGCCAGATTCTTGAAAGATAATTGCTTAAGGCTGTTAAGAGCAAAGTTTGATTTGTCATTAATCAGAAATTCAACAAGAGGCTATTAACCAGAGGCGGATTTAGAGGGTTTTTCAGGGGACCTGGCCCCCCCCCCCCACCTTTTGTGGGAAAAATTTGGTTGATTAGATAGGGAATCACTGGAGCATGACTGGAGTGGGCCCCCTCTATGACAGTCAGTGGGCCCCCCTTATGAAAATTTCTGGATCCGCCACTGTTAACATCCTTAATCGCTCACCTTGCAAAAATATGGCATGTTTGTTTTAACCTTTTTCACAACCATATATGCTTTTAAGAAACAAATTATTTATTATCAGTGAGAAATTCATGGACAGTAACTTCTTCACATAAGACATCTCTATACAAAATATGAAGCATCCTACTGAAAATAAAGCTTTTTCGCAAAGAACTAACACAGTTGTTGCCACCAGGTTAGCATCTCTATTTCTCTAATTTTTCACTATTTTCACATTTCCCAACCAGACAATTGTGAAATAAATGGGGAATGTGTCCATGGGACACAGATGATGCCCCTACTTGAATATCATATAAAGTTATAAAGGGACATAACTGAAGAACAGTATAACTCTAGAACAGTAAAAGAGACGCCACGAAAATTCAAACTTGATCTGTATTTTGTGGTAATAAGCATTGTGTATAAGTTTCATAACATTTGGTTGAGGCTAATTTAAGAAAGAGAACGGAAACGAAAATTCAGCAATTTTTCCATTTGTAAACGGGCATAACTCTAGAACGGTTAAAGTGACACCACCAAAATTCAAAAGTGATCTGTATTTTGTGGTAATAAGCATTGTGTATAAGTTTCATAACATTTGGTTGAGGCAAACTAAACTTAGAGAACAGAAACGAAAATTCAGCAATTTTCCATTTGTAAAGGGGCATAACTCTCGAACATTTAAAATGACGCCACCAAAATTCAAACTTGATCTGTGTTTTGTGGTAATAAGCATTGTGTATAAGTTTCATAACATCTGGTTGAGGCAAACTAAAGTTAGAGAACGGAAATGAAAAATTCAGCAATTTTTCCATTTGAAAAGGGGCATAACTTCAGAACAGTTAAAGTGATGCCACCAAAATTCAAACCTGATCTGTGTTTTGTGGTAATAAGCATTGTGTATAAGTTTCATAAAGTTAGAAAATTGTTCTCCTCACTAGTGAAATAACTGTTCTCGGCAAATGATTGGTCAAAATTTAATTATGACTTCAAAATTTTCTTGGTTTCTTCTGAATTTCCTATTGCGACGTCATGAAAAAGGTGACCATGCCTGATGACATCACATATAAAGATCACAACTTTCTGCAAATCTTTGAATAAAAATCATTAGAGAATCAGATTCCACCACTAAAACTCGTTTATTACAATATTTCTCCACTCTAAACAGATAAATTTTAATTATTTAAAAAGCTCGGCAAGCCTCACTCTTTAAATATTGAAATTTAACTGGCTCGAGAGGAGAAATATCATAACACACTTGTTGCAGTGGTGGAATCTATATGTCTTGAAGTTAAAGGAGGGACAAAAACCTGAACAGTGAAGCTAACAACAGGTTAACCATGGAAAGAGATAAATATGCAGAAAACAATTATATCAACACAATGTTTCCACCTTTCCATTATACATTATTTATTGCATTAATTTTATCTACGGATCATCATCAGCATTAAAATAAAACAATAGAAATCAATTACTAAAAGTAGATGAGAATCAGTTTATGACAGAATTGTGGTTATTATACATAACAAATGCTTTCAACATAGCAGCTCTACGAAACCATGATATGTTATCAAAATGCTTATCATTTTCAAATATTTCAATCTGATTTAAATACACATCCTGTATCCACACTTTGCTAACAAGGATTTGACAACACTTCATTCTACTTTCTATTTTGTTGATTATTACATCAGCCAATGAAATGACAGCCTAGTGAATCGTTACTATAAAAGCAGAGGATCCCGAAATGTCTTTAAAACAGAAAGTAGAATGGATTGATGTCAGATCCTCGGAAGCAATGCATGCATCTGTATTGAATCAGATCGCAAATATTTAGGAATATAATTATTATTCAGCTTGTGACATTCTAATATTTCTGTATATAGTCTACATGTGTGTTTATATAATAAAATAAATAAAAAATACATATAAACAAAATTCACTGCATTGTATGTGGTACATATATATATATATATATATACATGGTCAAGTTTTTTCTTAGATTTACTATTCTGCCATTGGTAATCTTCTTTAAAGGAATAAAGATAAAAATACTAAACATAAAATATAAAGACAAAAAATGTTCAATGTTATGTAAATAACCATTGCTATTTGAAATCAAGTTAAATAGAGATAGCTTTTTTATAGACAATTGAGTTTGTTAAATAAATTAATCAATTTTTTTTTTAATCTTTTCCAACTTTAAATTAAACAAAAGATAAAAAGTATAGATATATAAAAAAAAATTGTCTATTATGCAATTTGACTCTTTTCTCCCCTAATTCAATATGTTTTTAAGCTGTTACCAAAATTCCCTAAAAACAGTCAATCTATAAACCTTGTTTGGTAATATGATTGCCTTTTCGACCAAACTTTTAGCAATAAAATGGAATCTTTGCTGAGTATGTCCACAACATAGAGATGATTTTTTTTCATCAAACTTGGCTATATCATGTTTTGTCAGACTTGAAAATGAAAACAAATGTACAGGTTCTCCCACTTTTCATACCTGCAGTATAATTAAGCTATCTACAACAATCTACACCAATTACTGTTTGTCATGTCTAAGAAATATACAAGTTATTGGAATAATAAATGTTAATAATCTCTGATGAAAGTATCTGAACCCTTAGGTAAATTTCAATAAGATTTGTCAAAATTATGAAATCCTGGCTTCAGAGTATCACTACTCAACGTTACTTTTCAGGTGTTCAAATTAATGAGTCTCAGGTTCATGACCTTTAATTTTAAAGATGGGCCATCAATTTGTATAATGCCAAGGTCCTGAACCTTCCATTCCTGAAATTATTTTTAACACATGACCTTTTACTATAGTATATATATTTTAATGGAACACCCCTAATATGTAACTAAAAACATAAGAGAGATTTTAAAATCATGGAATTTCATGCGGCGCATAAATGTTTTTTAGACAGGTAAATACCAAGTAAGTCATAATTTTGAAACCCCTAAAGCTGTCAAGCTATTTTTCCAAAATTGATCAAAATTTATATATAATTTATATATTGACACAAGTGATATAGAGCAATCATAAAAATAAATACAATTAATTATTTATACATATATATATATGCATCTTATGTACATCATTATGTACAATCCCCCCTCAAAATTAACAATAAAATTGGTTAAATTCACATTTCATGTGTAAACAGCAAGAAAATTAAGCAGCTAAAAAGCTACAGTATTGATTACAATAACATTATAAATATTGTCTGTCATGGTTAAATCAGATCGTCACTATCACATCTGAAAATAAAACAAAATTTATTGATGTCCAGCCGCAAATACTGTGGATTCATTTATTTTTGTGGGTACCAATTTTCGTGGATTGAGGAAAATTGGCATTTTAGTGGATATTTGAAGTCTGCATATAACCTTATAGAAAATTTCGTGATTCACCTGTACCCACGAAATCCACGGAAATTGGTATCCAACGAATAATAATGAATCCACAGTAGTACATGTATATTCAAGATAACAACATTTTCATTTCAAAATGATCAATATAAATATGAAAAAAATACACAAGTGTTGAAAGCCGTATTTTTAACGTGCAAAACAGTATATAAATGGAAACAAAACTTGTTCTCGTCTCGTTGAATATTCAGTCTGATAAGGAATATGAAGAGGGTTTATTTATCTTTCATCATTTTAGAAATGTGTTTATTTTTTCCAATAACAGCCAAACTTTTCTCTAAATTGTTTTACCTTAGTTTATTAACATGATAAAGACCTTTAAATATCTCTTAAAATATTAAGACAATTTTTTTTACTTAACATTTTATTTTACCAATATAACACATATTTCATGATCTTCTGTTCAACTGTTTTATAAATTATTAAGAAACAAAGGTTCCAGCTTTAAGAGAAACAGATTTCTACCACTAAATCTAGTGCAATACGATTTTTGTCCACTCTCCAGAGTTAAACTTTAAATATTGAAAACGTTCTGCGAGCCTCACATTTTAAATTTGAATATTTAACTGTCTGGGGTGGAGACACATCATATCACACTCAATGCAGTGGTAGAATCTACATGTATGCACTTACTTTAACAAGGATTATTCTACTCCATGAGCAAATATCATGACAATGCCTGGTTCCATTATTAAATCTTCTGGCATATGTTGATTTTCACACGCTATCATCACAACTGCTTGTTTACCTATTAAACAAAGGAATTTTGAAATTATAATCATACATTATATACACTTTATTTTCCATAGTTTTAGTACACAGTCAGTTTTAACAGACCGACAGATTACTTGAAATATGAAAATGTAAATTATCCAAGACCACTTTATACTTTTGACTAATTATACAGTTAATAATGATTGTTGTTCTTTTTAAAACCTTGATGTTCAATTGATTGATTGGTGTTTAACTCCACTTTCAACACTATTGTGCTTTTTCGTGGCGGTCAGTTTTTATTGGTGGAGGAAGCCGGTGAACCTGGAGAGAACCACTGACCTTCGGTAGGAAAACTGACAATCCTAGTCAATTAAGATGCGTGATTCGAACCCACAACCTCAGTGTTGACTGGCTAGTTATACAGTAGTTCGACTACTTAGACCACTCAGCCACCGAGGCCCCCCTTGATGTTCAAATTTCTAAAAGTTATCTTCATACCAAACTTGTGGTAAAATGAAAAACTTTTCTTTTCTTATTGTAAATTTTCCTTTCTCAATGGTGATGTTCTGTTGGCTCCTTCTTAATAAGTGAACATTTCTCAGTCTGTTCCACATGCTCGCAGTGATGTCTAAGATTGAAATGACAGTAATATTTTCGTTACTAAAAAAATTAAAGGTGATAAACATCAACAACTTTATGCTATTCAACTTACCAGGAATCCTTTTAGTCACATAATTTTCATACTGTCGTCTATTAAGCTGTCTTGTTTCTAAAGTACTAAGTCCAGTCGGCCATCGTCGTTCATGGGCATTCTCCATCAATTCATTCACAATATGTGATGGACAACCGCTGTCTATTAATGCCCGTTTTATGACAGCTTGTAGAACAGCATCAGGTGTTGATATCATTCCACCCCAACGAGTTACTCTGGCAGCCTGTAAACTAGTACTCCATCTGTTAAGTAGAAAAGTACCGGTAATTGTTTGTATGCATACACCATTAATAAAGTACTGTAAATTCAGAAATTTTTGCACGTATTTATCGTTTGTGATTTTTGATTGGACAAAAATATGAGTTTAGTTATTAAAATTTGGTAAATGCTACATAGAAATAATGATAACAAAATTTTAAATGAGAATTTTTATTTTGGCAATATCTATTTCATTGCAATTTTAGCAATAAAAAACATCCCAAAAAATTTCTGAATTTACAGTATTTAGTTTTGGCATGCTAATGAGTGCTGTTCTAGAAATGGATTGTATGGGAAAGCTGATTATTTTAGAAAGAAAAATTAAACAATCATAGGAAATAATCTAAATAAATTTCATGCATGGCGGTGAAAATAGAAATCACTTTTAACCTCCCCTTTACCAATACATTTATTTCTGGAACAACCCTCTCCTCTTTAATATAGTTATAAAGATATTCAAGAAATTCCTGGGATGGTATGATTTGAGTGATAAATCATTCTAATTTCAACCTGTAATAATGCGAAAAATATTTAGTTTTTAATACTGTAAATAAGAAACAATTGCAATTTTTGAAGAATGGACAAAATGTGAAATTAATTTATATTACAATTTCAAGAAAATCTGCATACAAATTTATATATCAGATATCACTATCATATCAGAATGTGATTTCTTATTATTGCGATATTCACCCATTTGCTTTATTCACATTAATAAAAACCTCACTACATTCAAACTTTTCAAAACCAGCCGCCAGTCAGATCACAGAAAACGGCCGGTTTGCAAGGGTGGCCGATTTGTTGAAAATTGAAATAACAAAGAGTTACTTCCCTTTAATGTGTGTTTGAGTATTTCTGAAAATGTAGTTTATCATTATCAAAATATATGTTATCCTCCGTGAATTTTAGTTTTGTACATTATATGTATCATAAAATACAGCTACAACTTCAATTTTAACTTATTTTTTTTATTTTTTTTTATTTTGCAGGAATAATAAATAAAAATACCATACATTAATGATATTTCTTTAATAATTTATCCAAATGCTCTCCTAAAATTTTAAAACTGTGACAATATTAAATTCTTTTGAATAGCATAATAATTGTAACTTGTCAAAACATAACAAGCTTGGGTAATGAGACTGATATGACAGGTAAACAGTAATCAGTCAGCATACAGGTGTTCTGATTGACCAGATTATCTTCTTTGTTTACATAACAATTATAAGAACTGATCAGTAATTTCATAAAACAAGGCCAGTTTTATGAGGTTAAATAATATTGATTTTGATTAACTAAATACAAAAATACCGGCCAGTATCCGGTTTAAAGGGGTGGCCGGTTTAATAAGGTTACATGACCATTTAATTGAGTACAAATCGGCCGGGACTTCTTGATTTGGCCGTATGAGGGGAGAACCGGTATTCAGAGGGACCGGTTTAGAGAAGTTTCACTGTATAATTTCAGAACGCCCATGAAATTATGGGATACCACCAAAACATTAAAATCAAGGTGCAATATTTGTTTCATATAGAAAATTTTGAACTGCAATCTCAACAAACATAATGATTAATCAATGGTGTTTAGCCCCCTAGTGACACTTTTTGCTGGAATAACCTTAAACAATGAATGGAGAATGTGTCTATGGGCCACAGATGCCCCACTTGTAAATATGCATGAGTCAACTTCCATATACAGATGCAGGATTCACATTATTAAGACCGTTTTTTGTGATTATAAGCATTGTGTAAAAGTTCCATATCATTTTGTTGAGGCAAACTAAAATTAGAGAATGGGAACGGCAGATTTAGCATTTTTTCCATTTATAAAGGGCATCAACTCAAAACGGTAAAAGTGACACCACCCAATTTCAAATTTGATCTGTGTTTTGTGGTAATAAGCATTGTGTATAAGTTTTATAACATTTGGTTGAGGCAAACTAAAGTTAAGAGAACGGAAACCAATTTCGGGACGTACAGGACGGACAGACAAGGGTAACACTTAATGCCCCCGACGCCTAGTGGTGTTTGCATAAAAAGTTTTCCTAAAGTTACTTTGACCTCTATGTTCATGTAATATGACAAGGTCACTGAAGAATGATATAATTAAAACACTACCAGTTTGTATTGTAGGGAGTTTCAGAGCTAATAAAATTGATAAAACTGAAGGAATTTACCTTATATCAAATGGCATATAAAACAGAGAGCTATTTTGTTATAATATGGTTTTCAAAAGCCTTTATTCAAATGGTGAAATTTGAAACTATCATGTGTGTTTTTATCTTTGACGTAACAATAAGCCATACCTCCTCCTGTGAGGTCACAAAAGATTTGACTATCATATTTGTTTTCACAAAAAACTTCTCAACTTACAAGCTAAAAATCAGTCAATTAAAAAAATGTATGACAATTTATACGGCTTGTAAAAGGGTCCTTTCAGGAACATTTTCCTGGCTGGGCCTTTGGGATTGTGGGTAATCCTGAAGACTATTTTACCTGATAACATCAGCATGTTCCATTTCTGTTTGTATTTCTCTCATTCTTGGATTGGATACTCGCATTGATCTCATGTATTCCTGTAATAAATCCATAAACAACCATGTAGTGAAGGTCATATAGTGACCTCTAGATGTTTTTGGTTAACTAGTGCTGTTGGGTTGGTGCTTTCTTGATGTTTATTTACCCAACAACATTTTTTACTTATAACACATAGTCCATACAAAGATGACAAGTACAAATCTTAATGAGGTTCAAATAAAACCACAATTAATATAACCTTAAATAAAATGCCCCGCTGGGCGCAGCTTGATACGACCGCAGAGGTCGAACCCTGAACAGTTGGGGCAAGTATGGACACAACATTCAAGCTTGATACAGCACTGAATTTGGATTGGATTGTGATTAAATATTTGACACAGCATAGGTTTCTGACACAGAATGAATGTGGTCTCAGAACTTAATTTTTTTTAAATTACCTATTCAAACCATATCATTATTATTTGCTTTTATATATAAATCAGAAATAACCAATTTAAAATGGAAACTTTTAAAGAAAAAAAAAGGAAAAAAAGGAGAAAAAAAATCCCTCCTCCAAATTTTTTGAACCCCCTTATGATTCACCACACCCAAACTCAATCCCAGCCTTCCCTTTGTGGTATGGTACCTTGCAGTACAATTTCAGAGAGATCCATACACTTGAACACAAGTTATTGTCTGGAAACTAGAAAAATGCTTGTTTTTAGGTCCCTTTTTGGCCCCTAATTCCTAAAATTTTGAGGCAATTACCCCCAAAAATAATCCCAGCCTTCCCTTTGTGATATGGAACCTTGTACAATTTCAGAAAGATCCATAAAATTACACACAAGTTATTGTCCTGAAACTAGAAAAATGCTTGTTTTTTGCCCCTAATTCCTAAAATTTTGAGGCAATTACCCCCAAAAATAATCCCAGCCTTCCCTTTGTGGTATGGTACCTTGCAGTACAATTTCAGAGAGATCCATACACTTGGACACAAGTTATTGTCTGGAAACTATAAAAATGCTTATTTTTGGCCCCTTTTTCCTAAATGTTTTGGGCAATTACCCCCAAACTCAATTCCAGCTTTCCCTTTGTGATATGGAACCTTGTAGTACAATTTCAGAAAGATCCATACACTTACACACAAGTTATTATCATGAAACTAGAAAAATGCTTGTTTTTTGCCCTTTTTTTGGCCCCTAATTCCTAAAATTTTGAGGCAATTACCCCCAAAATCAACCCCAGCATTCCCTTTGTGATATGGAACCTTGTGGTACAATGTCAGAGAGATCCATACACTAACACACAAGTTATGTCTGGAAGTTACAACAAGAGGCTCTCAAGAGCCTGAATCGCTCACCTGTATTTAAGAGAAGATTTTTAAATGTTAGCAAACTTGATGAACAAATTGTGTAAAATTGTCTTTAAAGGGCAATAACTCCTTAAGGGGTCAATTGACAATTATGGTCATTTAACTTTTTTGTAGATCTTACTTTGCTGAACATTATTGCTGCTTACAGTTTATATATATCTATAATAATATTCAAAATAATAACAAAAAACTGCAAAATTTTGTTAAAACTACCAATTCGGTGGCAGCAACCCAACAATGGGTTGTTCGATTCGTCTGAAAATTTCAGAGCTGATAGATCTTGACCAATTGAACAATTTTACCCATGGTCAGATTTGCTCTAAAAGATTTAGTTTTTGAGATATAAGCCAAAAACTGCATTTGACCCCTATGTTCTATTTTTAGCCATGGCGGCCATGTTTGTCGATGGATCAAAACTTCGGACACAATTTATAAACTAGATACCCTCAGGAACATTTAATTAAAGTTTGAAGGTATTTGGCCCAGTAGTTTCAGAGGAGAAGATTTTTGAAATAGTTTACGACGACAGACGACGACGACAGACAACGGACGCCAAGTGATGGCATAAGCTCACATGGGGCACTTTGGGCCCCGGTGTGCTAAAAATGCTTATTTTTGACCCCTAATTCCTTAACTGTTGGTACCATAACCTCCAAAATCAATCCCAACCATCCTTTTGTGGTATTGAACCTTATGGTAAAATGTCATAGAAATCCATTGACTTAAACTAAAGTTAGAGTGTGAAAACCAATGTGTCTTCGGACTACGACGACGACCCTGGACGACGAAGACGCCAACGTCATACCAATATACAACCGCAAAATTTTTTTGTGTTCGTATAAAAATATGGGTATTTGTCAATGAGGCAAAATACAACATAAAAAGTCTTCAACAATAAGCAAATGTTTATAATACATGTGTATACCTTATATAAAACTATAAATTACAACTAGTCTGTCTTAATTTTGAATAACAAATAATAGAGACTCCAAAAGATCTGCCATCAACACCAATGTGTTCTGTTACATCACTGTCCCATGTTAGGGGTGGGTTGAAGTCTCACAAACATTTTAACCAAGCACATTCTTTTATATGTGTCTGTGGATGTTGTTTGTTGCGGTTTGCCATAGTTGGTTTTGTATATTGTTTTTGGCATAAATCATGCTATTTGTTTTTTCTTTTGAATGTTTTCACTTGATGGACATGTTTTACACCTATAAATTAAAGTTACACCAAATTTCTCTCAACGTTGCTATTTATGATGTTTCAAAAAATGTTGTCATGTTGGGGCCTTTTATAGCTTTAATACTATACTGTAATGGTTTTACAGTGACCTGTAGTTGTGTACATCTTCATTCTTTGGTCTCTGGTGATCTCCTTATCTTTATAAAGACAAGTAAATCAATAACAAATATAAACGGCACATGATAAAAGCATCTACTACTGTTACCTTTAAAAGCTGTAATTCTCGTTTTTGTTCATTTATTTGTAATTTGTGTTCTGTCAATTCTGTTTGCATTTCTGCCATTTTGTGTTGCTGCTGTTGTACAAGGTTCCGTAACTCCCTCACACAATTATGTTCCTGTACAAAATATTCATAGGATAAAATAAAATTGTATAAAATTATTTTTCTTAGTTATTAAAGTTAAGTCATTACAACCCTACTACACTGGAACTGTAAATCATTATTTCCTGTGTTTATGTCCCATCTGGAATATAAAGCAGAATAAAAGAGGGTCTGGTTGGGAGGTACTTCACTTCTGTTTTCTGTAAATATTTATGGCATTTTTCTTGATCTTTAAAAATAACACTTATTCTGCAAAAATTCTCATAAAAATGATTTTACTATTGATTTTTTCTGTAATTAGACGATTACTTTATCCTGTATATTGTTCAGTTAGTAATCAGTATTTGATTCCCTAATTCTTTTATTTTCAACAGTGGACAACTAAATGTTGATTTTCTGACGTTTTGCTAGTATTAGATAAACTATACCAGAAAAGGTTTGCTACTGATAAAAAAATGCTTTCATACAAAAGAATAACACACGAAAACAATTCTATTAAAGCCTTCAAGATCATAGAAATGTACTACATTTTGTTTCTTTTATTTATAATCTTAAAACTTTCCATTTGCAACAAAGCTTTTCTGTTTTTCCCTCAATGTATATTTACTCATAAATGCTACTGTTTATATGTTTGAACATGTTGAAGGCCCATGCTGAATTATTCTTAAGTCTTTTTAAATGGTGAATAAAAGCAAGACAAGGTGGAACTTTCTAAATGTATGTACATGTACCTGAAATTCCACCAGTAAAAACAATATTGAAACCAACGTCTCTTATTTCCAGATTTCCCTTCTTTATTATTAAATGAACATAGAAAGTGTCTGGTTATTATCATTCTCTTTTCATCTATTATTAACTTTATAAATTGTAATTGTTTCTTTTCATTTTTATTGCACAGACGGCTTTGTGTTGTTGTGCTGCTATCTTACTGACATATCTTGCTATTTCTAGCTTGCTGTTCGGTGTGAGCCAAGACTCCGTGTTGAAGCCGTACTTTGACCTATAATGGTTTACTTTTACAAATTGTAACTTTGATGGAGAGTTGTCTCATTGGCACTCATACCACATCTTCTTATATCTATATACATATATAACCCAAATCATATTTTTTTTATTTATACCTTAAGTTCATCTTTTGGCACAACAAGACCACATCCAAGTTCACAATGGACTGGTTTCTTTGGGTTATGTTCACATTCTTGCAGGTGTGCTGCTAACATGTCCAGTTTGACCACAGCTGTACAGCCGTATCCGACATTGTCACATGTGATCTGGAGGCGAGACAGTAGATTACGTAGGATCCGAGGGACGGGTTTAAGTTGGTTGGGTGTGATGGGGTTTCTATCCACAGGGCAGGTAGGTTGACGAGTCAACCACTCCTGTATACATGCTGCACAAAAGGCATGTTCACACGCTGGAGCCTAAAAATAGAATAAATAACATACTGTGGATTTATTTATATTTGACAGATACCAATTTTCATGGATTTCAAGATTATATATGTTATAGTTGAACCAAAAACTTAATTGTGTTAAAAAAATATCAAATTTACCATAGGCTTGTACACAGAGTTTGGCAAAACCGTGAAACCAAATATCCACGAAGAAATATTTATTTTTCAATCAACGATAATTGGTACCTATCAAAATAAATGGAGGTATTTTGAAAAAAATCTTTTTTTATGCAGTGGCACTGACAATGACTGTTTTTTTTTAATTTATAGTGATTGATTGGTTGATTGTTGCATTCTTAATGTCCAAAGGCTAGAATTTATAATGTGATTAATCAATGAGCGATCAGTGCAGCGTTAGATATGCATCAGCAATACAGGAGGTGTGAAAACTAACTATGTCTATTACCTTACAACTTTGACTGTTTGAACAGTTTCAATACAAGTCTTTGTTACCATGGAGAGTTGTCTTCAATTTCAATAATAAAATATAAGTAAATATCTGCACTCCAATTTGGGACATATTATGATGGTTTGTTGTTTAACATCAAGTGGTATATTAAATGCCTATTCGGGACAAGAACATGTCTATGTTATGTGATATGAACCCTGTTTTGTACTTGTTACAAATGTACATAGACCAACATAATGAGTCAGGTTTTTAACGTGCTACTTCATGAGGTAACAGTCAGCAGAAAGACAAGTCACCCTACCAGATGTTTTGACATATGAAATATGCAGAAAGATATATTTTCAAAGTAAATTGCCCATAACTAGTAGCATTCACTTTATAAATTAATCATAAAGAAACATTTCTAACTGAATCACATATTGTTTTTTTTTTTGACAAAATACCTGTAAGGGTTCTTCTAAAACACTGCTACAAATTGGGCATATAAGTTCCTCATCAACATCTCCCTGAAATCTGTTTACTTCATATCCCATCTTCCTGTAATTGAAATATTTCATACTACATTTGTACTTTTAGCAGATTAGTTGGCCCACAGCCATTTCCCCGACTAAACATTCATTGTATATGTATAAAAAACATTAATTGTAACTTTTGCTAAACATTATACATATATGTATGTTAGCAGGTAGTTCCAGAATTGTGGAAAGGGTTTTCCAGTGTAAGTCTGACATTTATCATTAACTCTCTTTCTTCCTGCGTTTAAGATATCATCACATTGTATTTTACTTTGTTTGTTAATACATTGTTGTAAATAGACAATATCTCAAGTCTTATGTGATTTATGGGCATCTTCTTCCTTATTGGCAGTAGCTATAGCTTGCCAACATAACGGTTAACAAACACTGAGTCATAAGTTGATAAACATGATAAAAATAATAATTCTTGAAAACCAGGACTCTTTCTAAAATGTTTTTTTTTTCTGTTTTAAGAAAGTTGCATTGTCATTAATAAAGAATATGCAAGACAAATGTGTGTTGTCTGTAGGTATTAGCATATGAGTTAAATTTTGTAAACTGTACTTTAAGATATTGGCCTCCAACAACATAACTTAGACAAATAAACTTAACAATGAGTATTTTTGCAAAGAAAAAAAGCCATTACAATCAAACTGCGCACCCCAACAAAGTAACTGAGAATAGTCAGCGCTATCAAAAAATCCTGGAGAGAACACTGAACATTTATTTGAACAATTCTTGCAAGATTAGGGCAATTTCCAGAACTGGCAACCCCTGACAAATGCCTGAATCCTGATCCTGCGCCTAAACAAATATTCTAAAGTTCAACGAGAAATTACCATTACCATGCATGTACAGTGTACCTTAAGAGGAAAAATAGTACAGAGACACAAGTTGTGTCAATTTTGACCTTAGGATCAGGATCATGACTTTTCAAGTTAAGTGTCATCGACTCCCAAAGAGCAATAAGGTCTAAATCAATAGTCAATGAAATTGAACTTTAAAATATACTTTTCCCAAACTTCAAAATTAAGCTTGTTTTAATTCAGTAATGACAGTATCCCATTTGTACTGAAATATTCAGTGATTGGCACATAGAAATTTTCTCTAAAGTCATACACTGTCACAACAGTCACGTATGTTTAAAGAGAAAATTTTGAAATATAAGTTCCGATATTGAGACAGTTTCCGACACAGGTTAGGGGTTATTCTTTGAGAACTTTGTGTCTGTGAAAACAAAATTGGGGTTTTGGAAACCACCGTCTCCTGGTTTGGCCTACTTTGACAAAGGACTCAGATAGTATAACAGTGAAATTTATAATCAAAATAATAAGTGATGCGTTTAATTTTGTCTTAAACTAATTTTACCAGTTTAAAAGGTGGCAAATTTCTGTAATAGTGGATATTCAGTATCTGTTTTTCTTTTCATGATGTCGCCATATTTTTCATCAACTTCCTGCAAGAACAATAACTCTGCCAAATCTATAAGTTGTTTTTAGCGGGAACTTCAAAAATGAAGTACATTTCCAGTTATTTCCTCTTCGGGTCGCATATTTGTTTCAACCAAAACCAGGGACTTTATAATATAGACTGTCCCTGCCAAAACTAACTATTTTTTTATATCTTATTTCATTTATATAATGTGTACTTTCTTTATAAAAACGATATATCACAACCATGTAGTTCACATATTTTTGCCCCTCTATTCTTATGACTGAAAACTGGGACTATTATACTATTATCAATATATTATGTCCCAGCTGAAAATAAGTTATTCTGGGACTATTATAATAGTCCCAGAGTTATTGTAAAATCGTACGGAAGAAAGCAAGAACATATTAAATAAGTGACTGAAAGGAGTAAAACAAAATTAAAGAACATTTACAAAAAAAAAAAATTGAATGTATAGCTGCTGCAAGCATTTGTATATACAAACCCTTGGCTGCTGTGACCTTCTACTTATTGACCTCAAACTTTATTGCTATTTCTCTACCTCTACTGCAGAAGCATTGTGGTGCATGCCCTGATATTTGACAATTGTGTTTTTGTTTGTAAGAGATCTACATATGTCTACCGTTTTTTTTATTATTAAAATTTATTTTATTTTTTTAAATTTATGACCGTGTATCAGTGTCTTTCCCCCTACTATGGATTTTCTTAGATTTCATATACTTTCTGTATTTGCCGTGTGTTTGTTATGTTTTACTCACATTTTAATATATCAGAGTTTTTCGACTCTGTGCACTACACTACCAATTGCCTACATATTTACTCTTGGTGATCCCAATAAAATGCTATGACTTTCGGCCTCTTTGAGTTCTAGTTCTCCATTTTTATAAATTAGCTGTACATTGAAGCAGAGACATATTGTATTATATGTCTCTGATTGAAGTTAAGAAACGGAAAAATACTGAATAATTATATCCGAGTAATTTATACCTGTATTCCTAAATTTGATTTTAAACGTGTGTTTAATCGAGCGTCATCTTTTAAAATCTCACAATCATGTGAAAGGAGTCGATACCTCTGCATCCAGATTATTCAATAAACTGAAAGCACGTGCATATATCTACAAAATATAATGTTCCCTTGTTATGTCAGAGAATGGTAAACCTGCTCCAGATTAGAATTGAGAATGGAAACGGGAAATGTGTCAAATAGACAGCAACCCGACCAAAGAGCAGAAGACAGCCCAAGACCACAAATGGGTCTTCAACGCAGCGAGAAAATCCCACACCCGTGGAGGCAGGCTTCATCTGGCCCCTAAACAGTTATGTATACTAGTTCAGCGAAATGGACGCCACACTAAACTCCGAAACATATAAATGAACTAAAATTTAAAAAAACACACAAGACTAACAAAGGCTACATGTTCCTGACTTGGGACTGGCGCATAAATGCAGCGGGGTTAAACATGTTTTGTAAGATCTCGACCCTCGATCCTCTAAACCTCTAGTCAATGTGGATAAACAAACACAGCAATACACACAGTAAAACTCAGTTTAAAAGAAGTCCGAGTCTGATGTTAGAAAAGGTAACAGAAGAAACTATATATATATATATATATAAGCAAAATGACGGTGATCAACATAAATCAACAAAGGACTACTAGCAGTTATTGCCATGCCATTTCCCGCCAGATCTGATCAATTAAACTGATCGAATGATTATGTCTTCATCATATGAAAAGCAGGCACAACCCCTCCCGTTAGGGGTTTAGTAACATGTCATTATAAGTTATACGAGAAGATAACCCGTATCATGCCAACAACTGGTTTTATAATAAATGTGTTTATTTTCGATGCAAGGACTTCATGAGTGAATCCAAAAAATGGCATCTTTAATGAATTGACAACAATATCACAACTATATCCCTTCTGAATAAGTCTGTTTGAAGGTTTGATTAGCTTCACCTTCAAATAATACTATTCGGTCATCAGTTAACGAGAGAGTTTTTTTTCGCTCCCTTTTTTCATGACATTATTTCAAAAATATATCTAGTACACAGGCACTTGTCTCTGATTATTTTTTTCCTTAATATTAAGGTATATAGGATTTTGTTTCAGAGTCAAGCGCCTGTGATCTAGTAACTTGAACTAAATCCAATTTGATATTCAATAGGTAGGACAAACATGCAGGACGTGATTTTTTTCTCATATGAACACAAGAATATTTATACCTCTTTTGCAAACCGGAGAAATTAAAAAGTCATGAAACAACCAGAACAATCGCAAAAACAATTTCAAGGTTTCACGAAAAATTTGCGACCTGTCATGGACGAAACGACTATATATACGTATACAGACAGTATACCCCTCTACCTAAATGACATCATGACTAATGTTGATTATAGACAACGTGCTCATAGGTTTCATGGCAAATGCACAAATGAAGAATCGTACGAATTTTACGCACTAGGATCTCTTTGCTGTATTTAAAAACAATGGTAGACATCGGTTATAATGCAAACTGGATCAAATACCATTAGTTATTTCTTAATATTTATAACGAGTGTGGTACTATAACCGTTTTTCAGTCCACCATATGAGTGAACACGTTTCATAAAGGCTTTCTGTCTTTCTGTCACCATAGGCTGTTTCCTCGCATTGAAAAACATGAAGAGTCATGAAGGCATTTTCTAAAAATAAAGGACATTGACATGGTAATTATAATAATCTTATCACCAATGTCTAGTACTATAAATGTATATACCGTTCAACTTTTTATACCTCCCTATTTTGATATCATAAAGCAACCTATAATTTATATACACGTATAAAAACCCCGTAGAAGTTTATTTTCTAATTAAATGTCAGCTCCATTAGACGTCAGTATTAAAAATAATGTTTAAGAAATAATTCATGGGGGCTTGAATATATCGTGATTTTACCACGGGTTGGCCCTTTATGACAAGTATTTTACCCTGAGCGATAGCGAGGGGTAAAATATCGGCATAAAGGGACAACCCGTGGTAAAATCACGATATATTCAAGCCCCCATGAATTATTTCGATTCTAATAGGACAAATACGGCAATTCTTTTGGATCGAAGCGCTCTAGGTGAAGGCATTATTTGCCGTTCCCATGAAATGAACGCACTATTAAATTGACGTAACAGAACGGAGCAAACTGAATAAATGGCATGCTTAAACTATTTACAATGACATATTTAGATAGGTTTGAATGAATCTAAATGATAATTGTATTTATATATCTTATATGGAAACAAAAAATGGCTTATATAACACATTTTAGCACCGATTGTTTACGTTTCCTTGTTGTGATGATTTTCGGTTTCACAAGCGTGTATTTTCCCGAAAAATGCTTATATTCTTACGTCATCGTTCTATGACGTCGGGTAGCTCATTCATAAAAAAGCATATGACGCGGGAGTACGATCGGAACAGCCCAAACAATATATTCATATTTTACCACGGGTGTGTACTCAAAGCGTTTGAAGAACGTCATGTTAGAATCCTACACCATGTGACTGTGAAGCATAGATGTTTAGATATGATCCCTATTGCCATGTAATTACAGGGGACCTTAACATCGTCCAAGACCCAAGGAAAACCAATACACCTTATCGCTATTTGTCCGCCATTACTGGCCATCACACAGGTTCCCGTAAAATTTTGACGTCACAATACAAAATATCTGACGCCACAATGGAAAAGTGATTGTTGTATGACGTCAAAAGTTCAAGCGGGACAGATTCTCGGGTCAGCCGGGAATAGCGATAAGGTGTATTGTTATTGGCAACATTTATGTACGTTTCGACATTAAAATGTATCGATGGGTTGAAGGTATTCCTATGGTCACAAGTTATGCCCCTTTGATAGAAGACTTGTTCTAGGGTAACTGCTAATTTATGAAGTCAGGTATTTCGTCGCCACAAATTTCTTAAAATTATTACTTAATTCTCGCATAGATACAAAGAATTGGGCTAGGAGTTTGGCAGTTCCTTTAGAATTCTTATAACAAACTATTTTTACAGTGATGTTGTTCATAGAGCCCCTAAAGTAAGATACGACCAATGCAAACTCATCGGTCATTTAAATTACAGAGTTTCAATTTAACACCATAGTAAAATCTTGAAATGTAGCAATGCTTATAGGTTCTAACTTTAATTTTGTTTTTGATAAATTAAAACATACATAAATGACAAAAAAGACATTGTCCAGTAACTAAACTTTTCCTAATATGTTAGTCTATTAATAGGCACTGTGCATGACCTTTAAATTCAACATACTGACCCAAATCAATAGGGATCTTGTTCTTTCCAATGGACATTTTCAACGTAAGTTTGGTGAAGACTGATAATAGCTTTTTTTCTCCAAATATCTGTCTGTGAATAGCTACTGTGACTTTCAACTTTGACCCAGTGACCTCAATATCAATAGAAGTCTTTATCACCAAAATATCCTTTGTCCACCAATATCCTTTGTCCACCAAAGATTAGTACAGATATGATTAATGGCTCAAAAGATTTTTTTCCAGAAATGAATTTTCCCAATATTCCAGACTATTCATAGGCACTGTGACCTTGAACTTTGACTAACAATTGTCAAAGGATAAATTTTGTGAAAGTTGAACAAATAGTTCAAAGATATCACCAATTGCTGATGTGACAAATATACTTTTTTTTTTATCAGCAATATTCATGATATCGACACGAAGGAAACTTGAGAAAATATATTGTTTTGGCCAGCGAGGGAGGGTCACATATTCAGTCTGAATGCGATAACTGCAAAGTTAGAGTAATATTGAAGGCAACATGTTGGACAAACAGATGTTTTATAGCATTAAATGACAAAAATTAATAATTTTCACAAATGAGAAGCATAATAAAAAATAGTCCAAATCTGTCCAACAAAGAAGAGGTCAACGTATTTGCAGTCTTTGTGCGATCACTGTGCAATGTGTGAATAGTATTGAACGGGAACTCTCGGAGGTGACACAAAGTAAGTTCCCTCTACGTGTTAGGGGCTGATATGAGAACACAATAATGAACGGAATATTGGTTACTAAACACATTCTCGACACTAACGAGTCAGGTTAAAAGTTAAAAGCAAAAAGTCTCCCCTCAGCACTAATGTGTATGAGATTATCTACAGGCTTTATCATTGTTTTCATTGTTACAAAACAAAGTCATTTATATACCTACAATTTAGAAAGTCGAATTAAGTGTCTCATAGAAAGACAAAACGTTTCATGAAACATCAAATTATGGCAAAATGTGATAAGAATGTTTACGAAGATTTTGTTATATGAACAAATTTGGACAGTGAAAATATTGGCTTGTTTATGGCTTTTTTGTCCTTAACCTTTGTGCATTCAGTGACCTACGATGTATAATTTAAGTTTGGCAAAAATTTCAACATATAGCATGGTATGTGAGAACCAACTACAGTAACTAGTAAATAATTAATATAGTTTTTTTTTTTATATGGACAATTTACTTGCAATCATGTGCTCGATATTCGAAACAAAAATATGCTTCAACACTATTCCAGTTAGCCTATCTTTCAACTTTTAAATCATATTACATCATGTTTCGTAGACCTCAGATGCACGTTACTATGAATTATGTGTACGTGAAAATCATATAATCGGTAACCCTTCGACAACCAGCGGCTGATTTCCATGAAAATAAAACTATGGGGAGCACTTACTATGTTATAAAGGGTACAGATAAGCCGCTAGAATAGGTAACTTCTCCAATCTTCATTAGGTAGATTTTTTGTCCAAAAATTCATGAAAGGGTATGTTTTTATTTCATTCAAAATATATGAATAGGGTGGGGTGCTCAGTCTTTCGACTACGCACCCCTACCACAACTTGAAAAGTTCGAAGCCCCCCTCCCCGAGAAAAAACAACATACGTTCAATCAAGAAAAAACAATAAAGAACAGCAAATGGAGAGGGAGTCTCAACATGAAATTTAGGATACAGACGTGCAGCTGGGATTTCAAACACCCCCATTTATATATTGAAGTCTTGTGAAAAATCACGGCTCATAAACATATTTCATATAGCAAAATCATAACCCACTCATATGTTTCTCAATTATCACATTTGCATTTTTTTTTATATATATATTGATATATTTGACGTATCAAAAAGTGACCCCTTTCGTCGGCACGTCTGTTTATACCTTAATATAGGAAAAGAACCCCGTGTTTAGAACTAACTGATTTGGCCTACGAATTGTTTTGATTCGAGCGCCGCTGACGAGTCTTATACATGTAGACCTATGACATGATACATTGACTATTCCCAGTGTAGACGAAACGCAGGTCTGATATACCAATTCATACGCCAGGAATCGTTGTTGAGTTTATATAAAAAAAAAAATCATATATAATTTGGGAAGCAGGGTCAAAATGTGCTCACTATACTATAAGAATAGCTAACATAGCCACGGATGTTGATTATAAATATTGTTGCTCAAGAAAACAAAACTAGAGACACTTTTATCTGTCCATTTATGGTGAAGAAGATTTCATGTAGGATTCAAGTATATGCATTGCACAAGTTAAGTCATGCCTTCTTTGACTGTCCATGACCTTGAAATACTAAATCCCTGGGATGTGTTTTAGTTGATTTTTTTAGTCTCTGATGCATGATTTTTTATTATTAATTGTTTTTGGCTTTTAACTAGCTGTCAGTAACTGCGAGTACTCTCAAATTGTACTTTCTTGTTTATTTGACCTGTTATACTAATTGTAATGCTTTTTTGTTTTTCAATGTTTACTTATTCAGGGTTATATCTGATCTATATACCAGCTTTCATAAGTGTTTGGTATTACTATAAATTTTCACTTCATGGTACTATGAACATCAAAATTATTTATTTTGTAAAAATATTTCCTTTCTCCATTTGAACTGTACATGTTTACCTAACAAAATTATTTTCATTTACCTGTGTTTAAAGTAATTGCAAATGGCTGATATTTTTGTTCAAGCATATTGTTTTTCTTAAATTGTTTAACATTTCACAGCGTATAACATATTACTTTAATTATAACATATTACTTTAACTATTCTTCCCTTAGTTTATTTATTTTGTATTTACATTGTATCATAGATCAAATTTATTTGTTCAGTGTATGTTCACTGGTGTTAATATGTCTTTTGATTGAGTTGAGCCATCTCAATTGATATTTTATAGTGTGTCTTTCTATGTTGTGATGTTACACTATTGTTTCAGATAAGGGTGAAGGTTTGTTACCATTAAAACGTTCAAACCCACTGCAATTGTTTGCACCTGTCCTAAGTCAGGAACCTGATGTTCAGTAGTTGTCGCTTGTTGATGTGGTTCATAAGTGTTTCTCGTTTTTTATATAGATTAAACCGTTGGTTTTCCTGTTTGAATAGTTTTACACTAGTAATTTTTGGGGCCCTTTATAGCTTGCTGTTCGGTGTGATCCAAGGCTCTGTGTTGAAGACCGTACTTTGACCTATAATGGTTTACTTTTATAAATTTTGACTTGGACGGAGAGTTGTCACGTTGGCACTCATACCACATCTTCTTATATCTATATACACCATCAACAAACAATTGTATCACATTTTGTCATACAGAGGCCTATTACAGCTTACTATATAGGGTACAAGTTTTGCTCATTGTTGAAATCTTTCAGATGACATATAGTTCCTTACATCCACATCATTTAGACTCTGGTGGATAGTTGTCTCATAGGGAGTTAGGAAAGACTTCCATTTGAATCCCCTTACCTGTGTATTTTGCTTATTCCTTCAACCAGGGGGTTCAAATGGAAGTCTTTCCAGCAGATATAGTGTCCCCATCTCCTTATTTTTTTTTTAAATTAAACCAATCGGTCTAATTAAAGAGGAACTCCCAAAATAATAGAGGTCTTTCTCTCCCCCAAGCACCATCATTTACATTTTGTACTCTAATAGGGTAGAGATTCAAAACTACTTTCTACAGTGGACTTTTACTTCTTTTAAACTGAGTTTTACTGTATGTATTGTTATGTATTTGTTTATTCCACATTGGCTAGAGGTATAGGGGAGGGTTGAGATCTCACAAAACATGTTTAACCCTGTCATATATTTGCACATTTTTGGTTCATTTGTATTTATAAGAGTTTTGTGTGGTGTCCATTTTGCTGAATTACCATATTTTACAGTTTAAGGGCCTGTTGAAACCTGCCTCCAGTTGCAGAATTTTTGTGCTGCATTGAAGACTAATTGGTGGCCTTGGGCTGTTTCCTGCTCTTTAGTCTGGTTGTTGTCTCTAATTGACACCTTCCCCCTTTCCATTCTCTATTCTACCAAGAAACTTCAATATTTTCAAAGCTTTAGTCTGGTCATAGGTGAGATTTTGACCTTTGCCCTAGTAACTTGAAAATCTTTTTTTTTTCCCACAATTGGTTAAGACCTGTTTTAAGGAACAATGGAAACTAAAATGCTGATGACCTGGTGCTATAAGTCAATTTGTATGCAGTTTAATGGTCAAAACTCAAACTGCTCAAAATAAAGACACACTTTGGATTCATTATTATTCGTGGGGTACCAAGTTTTGTGGATATTGTGGGTTTTAAGGTAAACCATAAAGGAGTAGGTCCGGTAAGGGCTGATTCTTGCCTCAAACTTCCAGTTTATCTGATGAAAGATTTTGGACACTTTTTAAACACTTAAGTGTCTACTTCATTAGATTCAATTAGTTTATGTGAAAGATTTGGACTGATTTAGTCATTAAAGACGCTCAAATTCAAGCTTAAGTATTAAAAATCTATCAAATATGCCATAAAATGTCCCTTTTAAGATGGTTTTTGTCAAAAATGAAAGTGGCCGCATCCGTGTTCATCCGCAATCTTTATATATGTTATGTATTATCATGAAATACAACTTAAATTTAAATATTAAGAATGAACACAAATGCGGCCACTACCATTTAAGACGAAAACCGTATAAAAATTCACTCAAATGCTCAAATTGTGAAGATTTCAGTAATTTAGCATGACTTAACGATGCTAGTACCTGATACATGTGCATTGTATTGTCAAAAACAGCCCATATTTATGTAACAGAAGTATTCTTCTTTCCAATGAATAGCTAAAAGTTAACATTTTAACAATTTTGTAAAACTGCTATATTTTGGGGCCAAAAAGGGGTCTTAGTGGACCTACTCCTTTAAATGTTCAACTAAGTACACATTTTCTAAAGGACTGGATACAGACTTTGGCAAATCCACGATATAAAAATTCCATAAAAATACAAGTTTTCCTCAATCCACGAAAACTAAAATAATCAATAGTAATGTTTATTTCCAATTAGACATTGATCTTCCAAAAAGTCATGGGAGTGAAAGTTAAAATTTAAAGTCAAACAAAATATGTAAATAAACAAAAACTCATTCTAGATATTTATATATTTATTCTGGAAGTTTTATATGTAAACATATAATAATAATAATAATAAATATTCTCTGTTACTTCATCATCTCCCTTTCTCTCCACATATTTTTGATTTCACAGTTTATGTATGCATAGTTATGCAATGACAATTTATTTAGAAAGTGTCATATGATACAACAAAACTTGTCATATACCCTTTCTGTTTCACTTATAATCATACCAGCATATGCACCAGTTATAGGATGGAGATTAAAAAACTTTAAAAAAAAAATTTAACACCCCTCTTAGGACCTGTCAACTGTGAGGGAGGTAAAAATGCTCATCTTTGACAAAACACATCCTTTTTCTAACCCCCTGTTCATCATTTTAGCCGATTTACTGTAGTGTAAAAACAATGCTGTTTTGAATTTTTAAAACTTAACAATAGGAAGATAAAAAAATTGTTTAAGAAGACTAGAAATTTCTAAGAAAACAAAATCATATAAAATCATTGAACAATTTCCCTTCTTTCATTTCAAGTAGGGTTTGATGTAGAACCTTTATTATAAAAATATTTTCATCTAGAATTTTGTACTTGCAATCACTGTGTTCAAGATTACAATTTATTTTCTATGAATACGCCTAAGCCTTTATCACCTGTTGTTTTTTTCTCAGTTGGATAAATTATTAAAACACTATTGTATCCCCGTATCATGGATTGAATTGACTTGATTTTCCATTGATTAAATTAGTTGTTGTTGAGGAAAAAATCTTAAAACACAATTTTTATCAAGAATCAACTTGTTACAAAAGGGATATATATACAACTCAATTTCATTTACCTGTATTCTTATTAATGAATATCGTAAAAAGTTAATTTTATTTCTCTTTTAGTAATTGAAAATAAATTTCAACTTTATCAGTGATGAAATATATCTTTAAATAAAAAAAAACTTTCACTGTTTTTAAATTGAATAGTGTAAACAGTATATGGGAGGTAACTCTTAATATCAATTTTGTACAAAAAAAGCACAAGTCAGTGATAGATACTCATAAATTATCATTGACTTTCAATGTTACTTATTTCATTTTTATAAGTTATCCTTTTCACAACCTTTCATCTTTACTTAAAGACAGCAACAAACAAAATTTGTGCTGAAAAGCATGGTAATCTGGAATTCGTCAATCTTTGGTTACATTTAATAAAAAAGATAGAGTTATTCCCCCTTTGTTGCAAGCATAAAAATATACCCTGTGAAAGTAAGTTTTGTCTCCACTGTTTTTAAACAATATGTATTTCAAAGTAACTGATCATTTAGCTATGGGGAAAGTACAATTTCGCTTTGCCATGGAAAATACAAAATATTAGAAATCCTACACCATTTATGCTGACAAGAAACCTGCAGTACTGTACAATGTCATTTCAACAAAAAACAGATCTTCATTTTAGTCATGTAGTAGTTAACAATAATATCTTTTCTCAGCTAATTTCTGATTTTTGTTTGATTTGGTGTCCATAAAAGGGAAGCCAATCTTTGAAATTTTAAAGCTTTTAACAAGAAATTCAGCTTAAAAATATCCATCAAGTTTTAGGTCTCATTTGATGTTTGGTGTCCAATTAAAAATAATGCTTTAAACAATAAATTCATCTTCACTGAGTCCATTAAGTGTTATATCATTGTTTCCATTTATTTCTGATTGGTTATCATTTGGTGTCCATGGCAACAAACAGTTCAGTTCACGAATGGCTTTGTTTTTTCGTTTCAGCTCTACATTTAACTTGGCAACTTGTCTCTTTAAATGTTCTACTTGTGAATCCATCTGTAACAGAAAAAAAATATACATGTAGAATTGTTTCACATTTTACATGTCCATGCCTTTTATAGCTTACTATATTATACTATTCTTATATTGCTTATATGGAGCCATAAATAAACCAATAGAATAGCAGCTGATTAATAAGCTCTCACAAATGTACATATAAAAATAAGATGATGTGGTGTGATTGCCAATGAGATAACTCTCCACCAGAGACCAATTCATATAGAAGTTAGCAACTACAGCAGCAGCTCATTACTGAGTGAATCTAAGATAGTGATGCCTTTTTTTTATTTGGGGAAGGGGAGGGCATTTTTGTTTTAGAATGTGTTGACGAAGGTAGCAAAACATCTTATGCAACCCTTGTGGTATGCCATAGTCCCATAAAGTAGTACATTTTATAGATTTCAGAAAAGAAACAAGACAAAAATATACCCATGCAAAGTCTTCAGGAACTAAATTTTAATGAGTGAACTATTTTCAGTGGTAGTCTTTTTTTGCTGTATATTATATTCTGATATATCTTTTATTTCAAATGTTTTGTACAAAAATCAGGATATTAGTTTTCTTATTTTGAATTGTTTTACATTTTTCATGTACTTGGGCCTTTCATAGCTTGCTATGCAGGAATGGTTTTGCTCATTGTGGTTTGGTGACTTATCGTTGTTAACTTCTACGTCATTTAGTTTTGGTGGAAAATTGTCTCTTTGGCAATGATACCACAGCTGGTTTTTATACTTATTACTGGGTACAACTCTTTACTATATTTCAAAAAGAGTACCATGATGGTAGTCACATGTGGAGCAGGTAATAGTGACCCATCTGGAGCACCCTTGGTTTTTGGTGGTGTTTATTTTGCTCATAGATATATGAAGATGTGGTATGAGTGCCAATGACTCAATGACACAACTCTCCATCTGAGTAACAATTTCATGCAGATTTAGCTTTCTATGTAATTCATTGTTTTAATTTTTGGCCGTAATGTTGTCTGTCTGTCTTTATAGGACCTTTTTATTGCCCCCGTTAGTGTCTTCTCATATTTTTAAAAAACTTACAAGATTTTTAGGTGGTTGACTGCCATTTTGTACAGGAACATGGTTAATTGCTGAGTGTTCATTGGTTGATGGTACATTCTGTACTGCTGTTTCATTGGTTGTTTGAGTAGATATTGCAGTAAGATCTGGAGTTCTAGCTACAGTCAACAGCAGTTCTCCTGAGGCACTTGATATCAAATCTCTTACTGAATTCAGTGGCTCTCCAAGTACTATCTTTTGATTGACCTGATTAATACATTAGAAAAAAATAGAAATTCAATATGAAATTGAAGCATATAAAACATAATAACGACATGAATGAAACTATATGAATTGTGACAAAAATGCAGTGTGTTCTTAAATTTTTTTTTAGCCTGGTGCTCAATAAAACATCCCAAGAATTAAGACTACAAATCTGCTGGTCACAGTGAAAATTTGGTGGTCCTGTATTCACAAAAAAACATTTTGCAACCAATTATTTCCATACATATAGGTGTCAATAAGATTAGGCCAAATTGTACAATAATTATATGGTTCCATATCAAATATTGATATACATTGTAATCAGAATATATACTAAATACCACACAGCCTAAAACAGAATGAAACTACTAAAAATGATTAGTTAGACATCAGGACGATCACTAACTTTCAAAACTGGCAGACCTACATGATTTATGGTGGTTAGGACTGCCAGTTTTCGAGAATTAAGGAAAACCTTTACAGTGTAATCATGTACATGATGTAATATTGTGATTAATATATAAAGACAAAATTTCTGAAAATTCATAAATTAAAGACAAAATCTAGAAAACACGTACATGCACCTATGAGAAGCTTATAATTGCAAAGTAATATATAAAAAAAAAAAAACAGACACACACAAAAAATCTGTTTGCCAAAACATTGATTTCGTATATAAGAGAATATTTTTTTCCACATAAAAAAAGAGCGACACAATGTGTGTAATTTGAGAGATTCAAAGTTTTAAAGAGGTGTACAAGTGTTGACTGAAGCATATTGAACATGTTGATGAATGAAATTGCCTCATACTACATGTACTAAAACACTTTTATTACCCTATACAAGCAGGACAAGTAATGGAATAAAGAAGCATTCAATCAATTCGTGTCATTAAATGCTAAAACCAGAAAATAACAAATTTAATAAACTAGCTTTTTTTTTGTTTTGTTTTACAATTGTAGTAATATTGACATAAAGACTAGTATCTACCATCATGGATGTTGTGTTGTATTGGGAGTTAAAACATTAACTTTATGTATTTCACATCCAATCTTTTATGGTAATATTCTTTACAAAGCACAAAAATGTCAGTATTCACCTCAAAAGCTAACAAAACCTTTAAACAGACTTATTAAGAAGGGATATAGTTACGATACTGTTGTCAGGTCATTAAAGATTGCATATTTTGGCTTTAATATTGATTCACTTATAGGGTCTTTGCATCGGAATTAAACATCTTTATTCTAAAACCAGTTGTTGGCATGACACGGGTTATGTTCTCATATATTTTATGATGGTATAATACTAAACCCCTAACAGGAGGGATTGTGCCTGATATTCATATGATGAAGGCATAATCTTTCAATCAGTTTAATTGAGGTCTGGAGCTGGCATGTCAGTAACTGCTTGTAGTCTGTTGTTATTTATGTATTATTGTCATTTTGTTTATTTTCTTTTGTTTCCTATTCTGACATCAGACTCAGACTTCTCTTAAACTGAGTTTTACTGTGCGTACTGTTGTACGTTTAATTTTTCTACATTGGCTAGAGGTATAGGGGGAGGGTTGAGATCTCAAAAAACATGTTTAACCCCGCAGCATTTTTGCGCCTGTCCCAAGTCAGGAGCCTCTGGCCTTTGTTAGTCTTGTATCATTTTTAATTTTAGTTTCTTGTGTATAATTTGGAGTTTAGTATGACCTCCATTATCACTGAACTAGTATACATATTTGTTTAGGGGCCAGCTGAAGGACGCCTCAGGGTGCGGGAGTTTTTCGCTGCATTGAAGACCCATTGGTGGCCTTTGGCTGTTGTCTGCTCTATGGTCGGGTTGTTGTCTCTTTGACAGATTCCCCATTTCCATTCTCAATTTTACTTTAAAATACCATGTGATCATTGTCTGCCAATCAAAATAATGTAATTTCAATGAAATTTATATGTGTTATAAAAGTAATTATTGTAAAATAAATAACCTACAGTTTGCATACAAACCTCTATCAATATATCCCCTTTTAGTAAAGCTTTATTTTGGAACACAGTTGATAATTCCTGAACAGAAATAACAGAATATATTGCTGTATCAGCACTCAATGTTTTTACTGGTTTAAATGCACTTCCTGGACCTCCAAGGCGAGCATACTTCCCCTGCGGCGGGGACATGGCAGTAGATTCCCTTTTTTGGGTCTTTTTGACATTTTGTAATTCAACACAACTTTCACATAAATGTATATGATCTAAAAGATTATATTCAAGTCCAATCGTCAAAATTACTGGTATAAAGCGGTAACTTTGAGAGAGCTGGTATAAACTTGGATTACATTTGTTAAATCCACAATCACTATTTTGGTTATTCTGAAATTTCCAGTTGCCAGGCAGTGTATTATAATGAGATTCTATCACAGGAACATGACCTTCACCTTCAAACGGAGGAGACAATGTTTCAGTATTTAGTGTTTTACCATCTTTTAAAGGAATTTCACTCTGAACTCTGATCACTTGTTTAGTTTCAGGCATATAATTTTGAATTTGTGAACTTCCTACAGTTACATTGTTTTTTTGTGACCACTGACTTTCAATTGAAAGGTCATTTGTTGGCAAATGTTTCATTGATGAGTATTTAACCAGTTTATCACAGATTTGAGGTTTGAATTTTTGATTTTCCTGAGTAATGTCACTTGTATTTAAATCCTTCGACTGACTTGACCTTGGAAAGGTACCAGTTCTTTGACCTTCAACACTGCAAACAATATTGACAGGTTTAGATTCCTTAACAAATGGTCCTTTCTCTATTGCACTCTCTTTTTGTAAACCATGATGCTTTTTATAAGCGGCAGTTTCATTGTGTAAGCTTTGGGAATGAACAACAGGGGCCTTCTTTGAATAAAAATTTTGCGCTGACCTTTGCAGGCTCTTTGTGTAAGAAACAGATGAGTACATATCATTATCTGCATCGTTCGTCAAGTAACCAGAATCAACGGTACTACTCAGAGAGGTAATTGTTGCTTGACCTGAGTCACATGACCTTAAACTTGACGGTATAGAAACATTTAGAGTATCTTGATGAGAGGTGGTATTTAAATGCGATGAAGTATTGCCATTTTTTTCCGAATATTTAGAATTTTCTAACATTCCTGGACAACTTTCTCTTTCAGAACCTAGTAAGTCTGACACCTCTTTGTCTAATGGAGTGTCCTGAACTGTTCGTACACTAGAACTAGTTCCACTTGATGAACTTTGACCTCCTGATCTACTGTGTTGAGACATTCTCATTTTGACTATTTCAGTATAATGTTTTTTGCGGTCATTAGCTTGACCCTGAGGCACAGAAGGTAATGCCCTCTTTGGTTTAACAGGTGTACTACTGTCCCTTTTTTCATTACTTGTATTCTGAACTCTGGAAGCCTGTTTTTCCTTTTCAGAAATGTTAGATAATAAATCACGTAGGGTATTCTGTAAATCTTTTTTATTTTCAATGCATCTCCTGGCACTTTCTTTCCGTTTTGCATCACTGTGTGTGTAAACCTTTCCTTCTGATTTTTTTACTTTTCCATTGTCTTCTGTCACTGGTTTAAATGTTGAGTTTTGTGAAATTGCTAAGGAATGCACACTGTCAGCTTTCCGCTGACCTACCACAGAAAAGGTCAAACCTGTTGACAAGTCACCGACACTATGTGCCCGTGATACAGAATCTTGATCATTTGAATATACGGACCCATTTTTAGAAGAGGTATCTGTATACATTTCATCACTACGTATAACACAATTTTCTGTTTTTTCTTTGATGTAAGACAATTTCGGAGCCGTTTTATAAATATCCATGTGACTACTATACATTCGACTTCCTGTCTGACTGGCCAACTTGTTATTGTTTATTTCTGTATTTCCGTTCATATTTCCATTTCTATATGTTAAGTCATCGCTATGACATGACTTTCCTTTTCTATATGTTACGTCATCACTATGACACGACTGAGGGGAGGCTACTCCAGAAAATCTGTTATGTCCACTTCTAGAATCACGATTTTTTATGTCTCTCTGTTGTGGAATATAAGAGTCTACACGTAATCCATAATCAGTTAAGTTCATCATACTCTCTGATGGTACAGTCTGTAGATCTGAAGGCTTTCTCCTCATCTAAAAAATACACAAAAAAGAGAGATCAGACAAAGTGTTCAGGAAAATACTGCAGCCAATCATATTCTTATTTTGAAATGTAAGTTATTCAATAACATCTATTCTTCTTTAGATATCTACCGTAACCTTTAAACATGATCAATGAGTTTTCACTATCATAAATTTGCACACATCAAAGTAAAGAAATTCTGTCATATATATACCATCTTCTGGTTAATAAATTTTGCTTCTCAGATTCCAAGCAAATATTCATGTCTAGTACATGTGTACAAATTACAAAATGCATACCATTGCTGCCTCAACTATGGTTGAATATTATGACTACTTTTTAAAGACCTGACAACAACTCCTTTGAAGTACAATGATTATCAATGAAAAGAAACCTTTTCCCTGTAGACACAGTATGTAATGAAGATCAACAAAAAAATCATTCTTCTTTAGATACTTGTGATTATTTCGTCTTATTACACAAGCAATTTACTCAGGTAGATCCATGGTAATTTCTTTAATAAAGTTCCTTTTTCAATGTAGGCAGAGTCATCTCAATGCTAACTGATTTCCCAACCAGTTCTCATATATTTTACCTCTGGAACTTCAAAAATAAACATGAGTCCCTTATATTGATGTAATAATTCAAATTTCAAAAACCTACTTATTGTTCAGGAAATAATACTGGCTGCACTTATTTGCACAGTTACCTTCTTAACTTGCCAAGAATGTTTAATGCAATTGAACATCTGTGATAAGAAATAATCTCCGAAAAAAAATAACATTAACGAATATTGGTATTGATAATATGTTACATTCAAAAGAACAAATTATTATTTGTATAGTATTATGTCATTTGGAGTAGATCCAAAACAATAATCTTTAGGTTCCTGTGAACTTATAGTGCTAGCCTGTTAAATTTATTCACAACTTTTATAGACTTTGGACGATTTAGAGCTTGAATGTATATTTAAGGGACACCTGGCTGTTGACAAAGACTGTATGATGGCTTTATATATTTTTACACCAAGACGTCGTTAAATAAAATTGGATATCCTTCATTTAACAGGCTTTTCAATAACATACAGTCAAATCGTTGAAAGACCCCCCTCCTATAAATCATTGAAAACTATCATTCTACATTGACAATAATATATTGGTGTAAATTAGATACATCCATTAGGGCTAACACCATCAAGGTGTATCTTATATACTACCAACTTTTATGAAATATTGAAATACGAAACCAAATATTTTGTCAACCATTAAGTTAGAAATTTCACCCATGCCTATGAAATGACCTCTACATGTGTTTTTTAGTTGAGATGTGTTGTTGGATTGCTGTCTGTATTTACCCTATATTTATGTTTTCTTCCTTCTGTGTTGTAGTTCGGTTGGTTGTACAGATGGGAGTCAGACAGACTCAAATTGGCCCAACTTTGTGATTTAAACATCTGAAATAAAGAAAAAACAATCACAAATGCAATATCCTATTTAAAATTTGAAACCCACGATTTCTCATTCAATATTTTTATTCACATAATGAAAATCTGTGAAGCTTACATGGGAGGTACCTGGTTATCAAAGAATCACAACTTAAACTAAATTGGAAATTCTACACTTAAATTTTAAATAAAATTGTGTAAATCTTGGCCCAGAAATAATGGCTTTAACTGATGTTACGTAGTAAGTCGTTTGTGTTTTGTTTTGTTGTCTCATTGACATATATACCACAGCTTCTTTTATTCAATGGCCAATTGGTCTACAGTATCATATAGCCTGTCAACACTGAGGGAGTGAGTTCAAACATCACATGTGGTAAGTGTGTTTGACTGTGATCTTAAGGATAGCCAATTTTTCTGCAAAAGGTCAGTGGAACATTCCCTCCAGGCCACCAATAAAAACTGACCGCCAAGATATAGCCAACAGTGCTGAAAGTGGCGCTAAACACCAACAATAAATTAATCATTAAGAAGGGAGTGTGTACCCCAATAAACCAATAAATGCCTATGTAATATACCTTCTTTGATGAAGATTTTGGTTTTTTAATCAGCATCAAACATTTCTCTTCAGCTGTCGTACTATCTATCTTGTCTATAACAAAGTCTTCATCTTGTAGAAAAGCATGAACTGAAATATACAAAAAATTATATTGTAGTTGTTAAAAGATAGTATAACAGGGCATATGTATATCAAACATATCAAAATGGGATAATTACCACAATCATTACAATATGTCAATATTTGTGCTAATATCTAATAAAAATTTTGACTACTGTAAATTCAGAATATCATTGTGAGGTTTTTCATTAACGCTAATAATGTGAATGGGTGATTTTAGCAATAATAAGGACTCACATTCTGATATTCAGATACTTGCATATGTATGTATGCAGATTTTCCTGAAATTGCAATAATTATTCTTGCTTTTTTGTTCATTCTTCAAAAACCACAATAATAAATGCATGCAATAATTTCTGAATTTCTAGTGTTTATGATTCCTATATCCCTAATGAAAAGGCCTTCTTGGGTTTTCTTGCGTTTTTCAGTTGTTTTCTCATTTTTATGAACCCACATGTATCCATTTATTCAAGGTATGCTCATAATTGTACTTATCTTCAATTTTTAAATTTTCGTTTCTTCAATGAGGTTATTAACTTCCACTTACATATATCCTCCTCTAAACGAAGTGTATTTAATTTCATCTCAAGAAGTTTTTTCCAAAGTTCAAACTCCATAATAGGATATACAAATATTTTCAAGTGAATCTACACAAAGCTGAATTTTAATATATCTCCAATAATGATGTGTAAACTTTAACAGCTTATAAAGAACTACACTAATATCATGGTAAGACTTCAAATACTATCCCAAAAAAACCTTCTGTTAGTATATAAGCTGTGTCATGATGCACAGAAATATCGCACGACAAGAACAGTTCGCTGTCTTGAATTTCTTTCTTAATGTCAAATTTCACACTGTTAAAAAATATGAAAAAAGTGCCAGTAAAACTCTGCAAAGTACAATATTATTGTCTAAACTGCTTAGAGATCTATCCAAACTTCGTTGACTGAAGCCTCTCAAGATTCCGACCAAAGAATGGGTATCTAAGAGACAATAGATGACCCCTAGAGGGGCACCGATAGGAGATTTATAATTAACTAGATTTAAATCTTTTATTTATTTTTATCTTGACACTTTGTGTGCATGAAAGTGGGTAAATTATCATTTTTCTAAGTACCTCATACAAATTCACTGTTTCTTCATGTCTAAAGACAAACAATGGGTTTATTTGATTTTCAACTAATTTAAAATTTGTCATTTGTGTAAATACAGTTTTTGTTGTTCAAACTGTTTCGTATGCACCGAACCTCTCAAGAACTTCACAAAAGGAGGACATCTATCGGACGCATTAAGTATTTATTTGTTTAAAAGAGGAAAGGTGTCTTTTTCTGTCAAATCGAGTATATTTAAGACAAATATAATACAAAACGTTCTTTTGCACCGACAAATTGGCAATTATTTATGAATTTGGCAATATAATACTGTCATCTGAATAGATAATTCATGATCTTTGTTTCTTTATGTCATATATTTTTTCAGTATTAAATGTACTGATATAAAGTAATTTGTTTAAATGATAGATCAAATTTATCAGTGATATTGGACACAAAAATCTGTCATAATTTATTCGCGTGTTTCTTTGTATTTGAGGACTGACCCTAAAAAACATTAAAAGAGTGGGCATAGATATTAAATGAGGCCTTTAAGGATATAAGGATGGACTTTAAAATAATTTTTTATAATCCTAAGAATTTTTACAGTTAGAAAAAAAAAGAATTTTATTGTTAAATGCCAGATATTTCTTTGTCTGCATTTAAATTGTTACTTTATGAGTCAAGTTTTATAGATGGTATTGCAAGAATCCATTAAAAATATTCATTTTATCAGATTTAAATTTCTTGGTTTTACCAATAATCAAATACAAAACATATATTAAAATTTTTAAAATATGACAACATTTCTTTAGTATTAACTGAAAACTTGTACTGTCGATTTAGATGTCAATTTAAGTATGAAAAAAATCACAAAAAAGCCACAGAAATGTAAACTTCAATGCAATCTAGTTCTACCCTGACACATTTTAAATTTACCTTTTATAGAAGCCCCTATTACAGTAATTATCATCAATCTGGCCTTCATTTATTTTAGGGTACCTTACCCATATATGACTCTACTGAATGAAAACTGTATACCATGCGTCAAATATCAAAAACACCTATGCTAGCTTCATTTACTTAAATGATATGGAAAATTTTCAATAATTGTGTTTCATATAAAAGGGATGGACCGGATATACAATATTATATCTCTAAAATTATTTTTAAGCATATCAAATATTGTGTTCCCTCCTGAGCAAGGATTCAGGGCTTTCCATACAATTAGAAGAAGTCTCAAGGCTGAAATCTAAAAGTAGGAGGTTGTGACATGCAGCAACCAGCTTGCAGCTTGGCGCCTTTACGGCAGGGGGTCTGATGGCCACTCAAGGCCCCCACAAGCTTTTGAGTAAATAGAGCAAAATCCAGCATTCTCGCTATCTCCTGGCACATAATTCCATCTCTCAATGAAGTTCTTTTTTTTTGTGCAGGATTGTGTTTCCTTCAATTCTTCATTATTTTCTTTCCCTTATGCTGATAATTCATTCGTTTCTAAATAATTTTTTGATAATAATCCTTTTTGAATTAATTTTTTTGTCAGTGAAGTAGCTGGCACTTGTAGCCACTGTAAACACGGACTTCCGTCGTCTACCGGCTACTTTGGAAAGCCCTGAGGATTATGACTGAATCCTGCATGGGTGACCATCAGTTGGTTGTGTATTCATATTAACAGTTACTTCTTTTACCTTATTTATTTTTTACTTAAATGTGTGCTGAATTGTATCACAAAGCTAGAATCTAATCACCCTTATTTGTTTTACGTTGACTGGTTTCCATGCAGCAAGTTGAATTTTAATCAATGTTTGAATTAGTTTTTTTCTAGTTCATTTATTGTGAAGCTTGTCCAATTGGAAATGTTTGTTACAGTGTCCTTTGAAATGAGGGACAGTAACAAAAGCACTATTTCTCTGCATTGGGTTTTTCTAAGCGTTTGTAGAGATATTTTGGGTTTTGTTCTTTGTTGAAGACCATGCATACAGTGAGCTAAACTTGGAAACTTCTATGTCATTTGGTCTCTTAGATATAAGTGAAGAGTTGTCTGATAGTGGCAATCATACCTCATCTTTTTGATTTTTATAAACTCTAATGGGAAAATCCCCTAAAAATTAGAAAACTTAGCAGGTCTTATTAATGGTAAACACAATGCAGAGAATCAGTGCTTTGGTAGCTGTCCTTCATCTAAAGTTCACTTTTCCCATCAAAACTTAAGCAAAACTAGCACTTAAGTATAAGTTCATGACTTTTCTTTTCTTTTCTTTTCTAGATCAACTATATTAAACAAATAGTTTTTTATCTATATGAAAATTTGTCCAATATTTGACTCATATAATTAAATTTTAGATGGAAAATCATTTATGTGAATGCATCTAAACATATATAATTACCATGTCCAAAACTAGAGGCTACAGCTAGAGCATATTTTGAACTTTTCTTCCTTTTATCTTTTGAAATATTCCCCGAGACTATACTGGTCTTCACATCAGAAACTTTTTCTTCAGGGGAGACAATCACATCACCACAGTGGATCTAAAAAAACAAAATGAGAAAACATTTATTTATTATTTTATTTTAATTATGAAAATAAACACTTTTTGAGGTGTAATCAGTAACCGATGCTGCTAACAAGAAAGTTATTATTGAACCAAAGGTTTCTATCTGTAAAGCTGAAGTCATCCATTCCACGGTTTTTACAGATGCCATCATGATTTGGTTGACTGTTATGAATATTGCTGAAAGAGACTTTTCACAGAATTTGTACTTGCCATGAGCAACATGACAGGTGGAGCAGGATCTGCTTAACCTTAAGGATCATCTGAGATCACCCACTGGTTTTGGTGGGGTTCATGTTGTCAAGTCATTAATATTCAAGGAAGTGTTTTATAGACCCTTTTTTTTTTTTTTTTTGTTGTTTTGACATTGTTTGTCATGGTATTTTTGTTGACTTATGTTTTGTGATTTTCCAATTGGTATCTTTCACCTAATTTAAAAAAAAATGATGGAAATGTACATTGTGTCAATGCTGTCTACTTTCGTTCCTTTAAATTTCTGGACAGATCTTGTACCTTGCTGACAAAAGAAGTCAAATGTTGAGGACTTAAATATCAGCTGAAGTTTATGCATTAAAATAACTACAAAATATATTGAAAAACTTATTATACTAAAAAGTATATAAGGGCAAAGAATAACTGTACTAATTAATCCTGTTGCATCTTTTGCACATGTACGGTAAAAACATAACACTTTTAAATTATAATTTTATATTAATTTCAAACTTTTCAAAATAAACACGAAATCAGCATTCAATGCAACTGCAGTGCAGAATCAACTGTAACAAGTAGGGATGCAGCATTACAAGGGGTTTGACAAAACTAATTCATTAAAATGAAAATAACATTTTCTGAAATTTATGCTGGCCTAAAGTGCTTTTTTTTTATTTATACCTCACCAGGAACGCTTGATCAAAACCAGATAATTAAAGCCAAGGATGTTTAAGAACCTTAATGGGTGAAAAGCTGTTATTACCAAAAGTAACCTAAAAAAAATAGCAAAGATAAGGTCAACTTTGCCAGAGTGAGTTCCACGTTGGAACCTTAATTAGTTTCCAAATAATTTCTAAGTTTATAAAAAACATCTTAAGCTATGCTTATAATAATTTCATTCAAAATAAAATTAGCTATGACAATAAAAACATAAAAAATTCAATGTTAATGATTTCCTCCCATCTGAACTCTGCAAAATTCTCGTTTTATAATAAATAAGAGTCATCTCCCCTTTCTGTCATAATTCATCAGTTTTGGAAATCCATACATTTCAATTCACTATTCATCACTTAAATCATGAGGTATAACCATTACTCTAATCTATTCACATCAACAAATGATCAATATTTCAAACAAAATTGCAGCTGTTGAAATAACAACTGTGCAATGTAACTGAGTAAAAATTGATAACTTCCATATTCCAAATTCCAAAAATATTTATAGATTAATGTGTTTATAATCAAATCAATATCATACTGCAAAGGAATTTAAGATGATCATTGACAAATAAATCTGTAGGGGTACACTTGTCCAATATTAAGGTTAATTTAGCATAGTTAGAGGGAGGGCATACAAGTATGATGTTGATAAATGATTGACAACACTTTTGTCAATAGTAGAAGTGTCAGTTCACCTTTTCATCTTTTGTATGTCCTTTCAGAAATGGCCTGTTTTATCTTTTCAGATCTTTTCATCTCAATATCATTATCACCTGTGAGATGTCTCAAATTCTTGTATTTTTTAAGGAAGATGATAAACTATTCTTGGCAAGTTTATTTCAACATACAAAATGGATCAAAATCAAATACTAAATTATCATCTAAACTTTGAGTATTATGCACCTGTCTTAAAATATAATAATCAAATACAATTGTGATAATTACGTATTTCATAGGTGTCATCTTAACAAACCTCAAAAGTATAATTAAGTTCTCCCCCAACAAGTTTAGGAATATTTTCTATCAGATTTGATGTATAGTTCCAGATATGATAATTTTTCATTATACTTTATCTTAATTTTTACATTTAACTCATCAATGTTCTAAAATATTCTTACAATGTCCAATAATAAGTTAGTAAATCTAAAATTTGCTTATACAAAATATCATATAGCTTGGGAGCTATAAATTACGTAAACAATGTTTTGACAATGCCAATTTTTACAGGACAAACACTCACCATCTACATGTATTATGAAATATTGTTGAAAGATGGGAAAATATGGTCAATGGGACATATTTTTTATTCTGTTCTTCAAAGGTTGAATAGATTAATTGGGGTTTTCCAATAAATAAACCAAATTAAAAAATAATGTACAAAAAAAAATAGTGTTTCTATAATTATTATCAGATGAAAGTAGTTATATAAAAAAGCTGTCGCAAGTAAACAAATACTAAATGCAATTTTTTTTTTTTTAGTTTTTCCGCAGGATAAAATGATAAAACTGACTTAAAATTACTTTAGTTTTTTTTTTCTAATTTTGATTTATATATATTGTCCACCAACAGCAATGTGTATATTTAGATGTTACAATTGAAATTACAGACCTGATTTTTATCTACAATTCCTAGTCCATTATAAGTTTGAGCAACTGCTGCAAACCACACCATGATGAATGCACATAAAACTCTTTATGAAAAAGACTATTCTATTATCTCTGATGTAAGGAATGAACCAATATAAAATTGTTTTTAGTCTTTCTAACAAACGAACTTCATACTTTGTAAATAAAATCTTGTTGATATTTTCCTTGTATCCTTTTAATTCCAAAAATATAAAAGCTAGGAATAAAATCTACAGTTCTGTTAGACCTAAATAGATGGTTCAGCGACACACGGAACAAATCACAATAAAATTGTCTTAGCTAACACACAAACATCATACTAATTCAATTAGTTTAGTCCTATTGATATTTTCCTTCACAGAAAGGAACAAACCAATGTTAAATTGTTTTAACTTAGCATTAGGCTATTAACAAACCAACATCATACTTGGCTTGAAATCAGTCCTTGTATCATATTAATCCTAGACATCCAGTATCCTTTATGAAAACTTTTATGTCATCAAATAATAAAGTTGTCACCTGATAACAATATCACCAACACACTATATACAATTTTTGTAGACTATACATAATGTAATATTTATATGATATATAATCTCTTTTGTAATAGCTCATGAATAATGAATGCTAATTTTATACAAAGGCTCAATCTGATAATTAGGATGTCTTTGAATTAAAAACAATGATGCAGACAGGGATACAGTCAGCTCAATTAACTCCACTAAATGGTACTCATTATGATCCTTAAATAAAGTCCAGTCGTAAATATTTCATGCACAGCCAGGAAGTTCTAGATTTAAAATTGTAATTATCCCCATTGTTTTCTAATAATTCTTGCTTGAATTTTAGTCTAGAAACATAGTCGTAGAATGTTTTATTTTCTCTGCTTAATAGCAAGATATTTGCTGAACTGTTTTCAAAGGTTAAAAGAAAACTCCAATGTATAGCACTGTGACCTATGACCTTTTCCCGTATGAAAAACATGACACGTACTCCAGTCGGACAGTAGCCGTACTGTAGCCGTACTGAGAACCGTACTTATAATATTCATTTGGACTTTTCTTTGAATTGCTTATAATAGATACCCCGGCTGGACTTTCAGCGAAATTAGCCGTAAACCGGCTCGAAATATTTAAATTAGCAGGAGTCCGGTTCATAAAGTCCAGCTGGACTTTAATAAAAGTACGTCTGAAAAAAAATCCAGCCGGCATTTCTGGCAAAAATATGGACTCCATAAAGTTCAGCTGGACTTTACAAAGTCCGGCTGAACTTTAGAAAGTCCAGCTGAACTCTATAAAGTTCAGCTGGACTTCAAAAAGTCTGGTTTGACTTTTAAAGATGATCTCAGCATGGGTGAATCCAGCTATTTTTAAAAGGGGGGGGGGGGTCCAACCATATGTCCCAATTCAAATGCATTGATCGTCAAAATAATGGGGGGTTCCAACCCCCGGAACCCTCCCCCTGGATCCGCCACTGCTCAGTTTTTCTTCAGATGGTTGATTCTTCTGATTTAATATGCATCATGCATCCCTTGCTATAATCTGAAAATACAAAAAAAAAAAACAGATGACATTATGCATATATACTGGTTATTTCTTTTTCTTTTTTGTACTGTCTTACTGGCAAAACCAAGAAATGGGGAATTGAGAAGCTAAATGATAACTTCTAAAAATTTGTGGTTATTAAATAGCCTAAATAATTTTAAAGTGGCTAAAAATAAAATAAAGTTGGCTTTGAAAATTAGAAATCAAAAAACTTTCAAAACAACTCAAATAATAACCATTCCTTAATACAGAGGGAATAAAAAATATAACAATACATTTTTTTACACAACAATTCAAAACAGGAAGTGACAGTGACATAACAGACAAGATGAAAATAATTTTTATGAATATAAATATTTGATGTAGGTTTTTTATTCTTTTCACTCTTCAAAAATAAGAACTAATTAAGCTATTTATAATATTGTAATTATTTTATTAATTTGTTAAATAAAAAGAGCATATCAGATAATATCACCAAAATGGTGGAATTCAATCTATTGTACTTACCAGAATTATGCAATCCAAAACACATGCAAACAGCAATCTTCCTAAATTATCATTGATGCCAGTCAGAAGGATCCATCTTCTCTATTTAATGTGAAAAGAACTACTTCCAATCATTTGCTTTACATCCAATGATATAAAATTCTCATTTTGTTCAAGAAAGAAGACACATCTTCCTGTTTATTCCAAATTCAAATGTTGTTGTATTGCAATACATGAGGTTGTTTAACATGTTAAGGAGTTGTTTTAAATGTTCCTCTTATGACTAATTGCATGTGCCTTAATTTTGAATATGTGATATATTAAAAAAAGAAAATCAATTATTAATTTGTTTAATTATGAATTTTTTAATAAAAGTGATAGTAATTGCAGAAA